GCCTGAAGGCGATAAAGGAAACACTGACCTTGTCTAACCGTGTCTGTAGTGTGGATATCTCAAATTTCGCAGAAGTCAGTTCCGATCCAAGTTGTGTTATTGAATGATCCTTATTAACCAGCTTTAACGAGGGATATTGAGGAACTCTTTTATCAGAAACATCAACCTTGATAATTACCTTTTCTTGAAGTGCATTTTTAGCATCGTTTGCATCTTTCAGCTTATGTTCAAGTTCTGCAATCTCTATCAAACGTCTCCTTAGATCGTCTTCCTAGGAAATATTGCTTATCTTCAATGAACAAACACATACAGAATCCGAGTAGTGAAAAAAAGAACTCACAGCAGCGACTCGTTTGCTCACTTCGGTGGACAAATCATATCTCAACTTTTTCAAATGTTCCTTAGTTTCTTTAAGATCATGTTCGTAAAGCGAGATATCTGTTCTAAAAAAATTTCGTTAGAACTTGAAAATAGTACGTGTCGAACTGACTGGTAAATGCGTGATTCGTGTGCATTGATACGATTACTAGTTTCGATAAGTATACTCTCATTAAGTTTCGAGCCCATATCCTCCTCCATTCGCTGCAAAGAAAATAAAATGATTATTTTGCAGCACAGCAGTGAGAACAATCTCTCGGCTGAAAACTATTCTAAAAGGGAAAAAAATAGAAAGATAAAAAAATGCTCACAACCAGCTCACAAGAAAGTAGAAAAAAAAACAGAAAAGTAGAAAAATCAGCGCTGAAAAGTAGAAAACCAAAGAAAAACATGCTCAGTTTACATGAAAATAAGATAAAAATAGAAAAAAAATAGTGCAATCAGGGCGAAGAAAATAAGGTGAAAAAACCACGCTTAGTTCCACAGGAAAACAACAAAGTGACTGAATATAAGCGAAAAAAAAAGAAAAAACGTTATAAACATGCTTCGTTCACAGCAAAAAAAAAATGGAAAAAATAGAAAGATTAGAGCGGGGAAAATAAAGTTAAAAAAATCATGCTTGATTCACATGAAAGTAACAAAGTGACCGAATCTAACGTAAGCGAAAAAAAGAAAAAAGATGGCCATGCATAGTTTACATGAATTAGGCAGAGTAACAAAATTTAAGCATAACTGAAGGTACCTTGATCGTCTTCTGCAACTCTCTGATCGTCGTGTCTTGTTCTAGAATGCGTTCTTTTAATTTTTTCTCATCCATGTCCAGTTCTACCACCTGTAATGCAAAATTCGATTAGAAATCAACCCGATTATTGAAAAATGAACTACGTTGTAGGGTGATGAAGAACTTATCAGTTCTCGCGATTCCTGCGCAACTGGTGAGATTGCCTTTCGTCTTGTTCTGACTGAAGGTGTTCTCATTGGTGTATAGAATTTTTCCATTTTTTAGTTGAAGCAGGTGGATAACCACCTTCGCGGCGAGAACTCTGCAACGACATGCATTTGAAAACGTAATTCATGCAGCATTGTGAGAGCTCTCGTTGAGAACATGAATAGTTCGTGTA